TGATGAGAACTCTTAGGATTTACTATCTTGTTTCATATATAACACACAGCAATATTAATTCTGTTTATCATGTTATACATTACATCCCTAGAACTTATGTACCTATAACTGGAAGTTTTTACCTTTTGACTGCCTTCATCCAGTTTCCCCTCTCTCGACCCCCATCTCTCTGGTAACCACAAATCTACATCTTTTTAAAGGGATACAAATTATGTACTAACTCCTGAGTAATATGATTCATATACAAAGATCACATTCTCCACCCACCATTAGTAGAACCTTTTTTCTCAGCCCCATCTTCCCCACGTCTAAGCATGTCAAATTTATGTCATTGTTACGCCTTCTCACTCAGCTTCCTTTTTTTTTTTATCAGTTCACATTTCAAGAAAACAGAATAGCCGCGGAAGTATACTTCTGCACTTGTAGAACAAAAACACAGCTAGTCAGATTTTTTTATATAATACACACACACACACACACACACACACACACACGATTCAATCCTAAGGCTGGCCTTATTAATGATGTGGTTTCCACTGACCAAAATAACTATCTGTACAAGGCTTTAAGTTTCCTGCATGTCTAATAATGTACTGGGAAGGAAGTGCACAAAAAGGTTAGACTAGAACTAGCTGCTTAGGGAGATAAAACAGAAATACACTAGTTATATAAATAAAAGAGACTAGGTATGTTTGAGTTTAAAATAAACAGTAAAGACAGTAGCAGCTCATAAACGGGAACATCAGGGTGAAGGTGTGCTGCTGGGTTTAGGTAAGGCCTTGTAAAGGAGATTGGGTTTGTGCTGTTCTTCGGAAGGTGGAAGATATTTGGGAACATGGAGAGAAGAAAAATGACAATTTAGAGGAAAGTGTTCTGGACAGAATGAGTGAAGTTTAAAGTTTTGAATGAGGTTGGATTGTTCTGTGGACTTTCAGGGAGAACATGCAGTTTAGATTAGGGTGGGAATAGTTAAAGACTCTTACGGAGTGGCTTTTTGGTGTGCTCTGAAATGCTTAAAATTGTTGTGATGATTTGGGTCTATAAAGAGCTTTCCTCCTTTACCTAATAGACGTAAGACATCTACCCAGTCCTCATCATTACTGTCAGTCTTCATCAAAGAATTCCTATGAGTGGCATTAAAACCATTTTAAGAGACGTTCTCTGATCAATCCTTTAGACCATTTGCATGTTCAACACAGGTCTAACCTCATACTCATCCCGTTGAGAATTAATGATTCTTCCATAAATTCACCCATAGTTGATTAGTAATTCACCCATATATATAAACCATAGACAGTCAAGAGGCCATGTTTCTCATCCACTTGAGACCAAGACGTCTTGTCAGTTTGTATTATTTCATCTGAATATTTTGTCTACATTAGCCAAAATCTAGATTGATATAGTAAATCAGTTGTTTTAAAATCCATTGCATAAATCTTGCCCAATTGAACATTATTTTCCAGTAAACTTAAATGGTGATAAAGTCGAAGCTATTAACTTTCTTTTTAATCTTCCATGAATTTATTTCTAATAATGACTTAAATTTGTAGTCATTTAGAAACCTTGCAAAATGTATGTAGACATAAGGCCAGCGCTTTAAAAGTGATTACAGTGGGGCTTTCTGTTCCTGAGTATATGTAAAATTATAAATACATTGTGTGAAATCAGAGCGTAGAAGTTTATCTAGAATGTGACCATATTCAGTGGAATTTAAACGCTATTTTATAATAGCCCCATTTACTGTCAGTGTTTAAAACTGAACAGGTATTTTGAGTTCGTTACCCAGAAGACAGCTATATTAACATAGCTTCAAAATTGCATGATCCTCCTACACAGCAGGTATACTTTTAAATGTTTTCAAAATTCTATTTAATATTTTTGAGTTATGGCAATATAATCTGAATACCCAAATAAATGCTGTAATCTTTAAATTATTAACATTTTAAAAATTAACTCTTAAAAGACTCAAAAGAAAGGAAAATGGGTCTGCCTCCCTCCAACATCTGGACTTTAGTTTGGCATTTTGAAATCAACAACAACCACACACACACAAAAAATCTAACCAGTTCTTTTATTTTAAAAATAAAAGCATTATTAATGCTTTTTAACAGACATTAACATCAATTTTTATTCCAGTCTCAAAAACAAACCAGAAAAAGTGCCTATTTTGTATTAGAAACATGAATATAATCCAGTTGTTAATAAAATTTGTCTGTTGGTATATTTCTTTTGATCAAGTGCTTAAAATGTTAATTCCAGGTTCTGTTTGAGTCATATGTGACCTGATGTTCTGCTCTGAGTTTTAAGTGAAGTTGAAAAAGAAAAGTGGTATTTTTTGCTGTTTAGGCAAAATTAATGTTTCAGAGCCAGTAAGTTTGACCACTGTTCTTTGTAGCAGCTTGTAAGCGTTCTTACAGGGAAAACCTGGGATAGCTACAGACCTCAGAGATAAATTGTATTTCTCTCCAGGAGCTTCCTTGAGGCCTGTTGTAGAATGCCCTGTGTAGCCTCTTTATTTTCCAGTTAGATTTCTAAATTAAAATTTTATATGGTATATCTTTACCCCACAACTTCTTATATGATAGAATATTTGGATACCATTACTTATGAATTATAAACATATATAGTCCTCAAAATTACCTCGATCACAAACTTGATATTTTAAAGTTATGCCCTAAAAATTTAAAGTTGCTAAATCCTTTGGCCAATTCCTGATAAACTTTCACAGTTCACCCCTAATTAAGCCTTTTTATTAACTGTACCCGTTAACCGTGTGTGCTACTCTGATACGGTCACTGTGAGTTTTGTGTCGTGCTAATCGTATTTAGTTTTTTTTTAATATATTTCTATTGACATTATATATAGCAAGTAGTCCAAATTTTTCAAAGCATTTATAGCAAAACTAAGACAAGTTTTATGGTTTTAAAGTTATAATAGTTAAGACTTTTGCTTATTTTAGAGTTCAGTAATTTTTAAAGAACGTTATTTCCAATTAGAAGTTTTTAAAAAATAGTGATTTTTAAATGTTTTCTCTTACAGCCTGATGTGTGAAAAAAGAATTTTTGAAACTGTGAATAGTGTAAGGCATCCCTTTTTGGTGAACCTTTTTGCATGTTTCCAAACCAAAGAGCACGTCTGCTTTGTAATGGAATATGCTGCCGGTGGGGACCTCATGATGCACATTCATGCTGACGTCTTTTCTGAACCAAGAGCTGTGTGAGTACTGAGACGCTTTCTGAGGTCTTCCGTGACTGTTTCTTTTTGGGAAGGGAAAAAAGCTGTCTAAGTTTTAGATTTATTTTTTCCCCCAAATGGAAAACAGATCTCTGCAAGGAATATTAGGACTCCTTACTTACCTTTGTGCCATATGTAAATGTATCTGTTTTTCTCTGTTCCCATGTTAAAAGTTTCATGGATTACCCTAAATCACACTTGATCATTTAAATATACAATTTAGGTTTATTTTAATAAAATTCCTCTTTTTTTCCTAATAATATTTTCTCCCTGGGGAATGCCATCTAGGACCATGGCTTTAAATATTAACTATACTCAAAGTACATTGTTAAGTGAAAAAAGAAAGTATAGAAGGGTTTGTATCATATATCCATATGAGATTTTGCATTTGCATTTAAAGGGTAATCTAAAAGAAGCAGTATTATTTGTTTGCATGTATGTACACAGCATCTCTGGTAGAATATAAAAGAAACTGGTATGCATATCGCTTCCAGTGAGAGGCGGAGAATGCAGGCTTTCCACTATAACCTTTTTGTAGTTTTTGAATCTGATATTGTATGAGTTTTGCTTATTCAAATGCATAAAAATAAATAATAGCGAACACTTGTGATTGAACATCCACGTGTATATATTCTTCCCCTGTTGTTATCCCCACTGTACAGCTCGTAAGTGTTGGAGCTACGATCTGGAGCTACAAACCTAGGAAAATGCTCGTGATAGCTCTGCTCTGTGTGCAGGTGTTCACCAGGTTGACACCTTCAGCCCTCACCTCTTTCCTAAACTTTCAGCTCTGATAACACTCAGCAGCCAACATGCCCTTTATACAGCTAGTAGGTATTTCACATTTAACATCTCAGACTGGACTCCTGGTATTTCCCTTCCCCCCCCCCAGCCTGTCACTCCACTGTTCTTCTCTATCTTACTAACCGGCAGTACTGCCTACCAGTTGTTAAACCCAAAACACAGGGATCGTTCTGGATTCTCTTTTTCTCTTACGTGCAGCATCCAAATTCTACCTCCAAAGCATATCCCAAATCATAAAAATCGTAAGCCAATAGTAAACCTTTATTGGGTTCATTATTGAATTATTATCACTTGTCTGTATTCTGGCGGCTAACATTGGTGTAACATTTTCACTTTCACTCCTTGATTTGATTCTCGCCATAACCATTAGAGATGCAGTAGAGCAGACAGTAGTCGTACTGTCACACTTTTAAGTTTCCAGTGAAGAAATACGGCTTTAGTTCTGATGATAGTGAAGCTTTCAGAAAAGGAGGCAAAACCACAAAGTAATAGAGAGCTACTAATAATCCATCTCCTGCACGTTAAAAATTAGTATCAGGACATCTGGACTGCGCCTAGCCCTGTGCTGACTGCCGTGGGAATTTATTTTTGTTTTGTTATGCCTTTTTTTTTGAAATATAAAATCCTGAAACTTTTTATTTTTTCTGAGAATACAAGTTATATAGTATCAATGAAACAAGCCCAGTGAAATACAAGAAAAAAATGCTACATTGCAGTATTCCATATCTGAAATACCTCCCTGTAACCATTCAGGTCTCACCTCGAATGTCGTTTCTTTGAAGCTCCTCTCCTGAGTACTTTTACCTGAAATACCACTGTATCACTGGGGTCTAAATCAGGCCACTCTGTTCTGTTTTCTATTTGTATTCTGCTTGGCACTTCATCTACACCTGGAGTCATCTTAATTTATTGTTTGCGTCTTTTGCCTGCCTCCCCTCACACGGCGGCAGGAGCGAGGACCGTGTCTGCTCTGCGTGCTAGCAGCACGCCCAGAAGAGCGGCCGGCGTGCCCTGGGCAAACTGTTCTTCCTGCCTGGGACTATGAAACCGAAATCAGTCTGATTCCTAGCTTTGCTGTTTTCTGGCTGTGTGAGTTTAGATAAGGCAGTTACTCTCTCTTTGAGAGCTTCATTTTCTGCTTCTATATTTATCTTAAAGGTTTGATTTGAAGATTAATAGGTTGATAAAATGTTCAACATAGTACCTGCCATGGAAGCATTCAGTGAAATAGATATTTTAAACAGTATGTACCCAGTTATTTATTAAGTGTCATTAGGGCAATCTGTTTACAGAGAAAAGAGAAATCAGGATATTTTTACAATTGTTACAACATTGTTTTGCCACTAAAATAAGTTTGCTAATTAAAAAGAAAAGACCGCCTTAAGCAATTTGAGAACCACATTTGTTTTGATGGACTTCGGCTGGATCTTTTAAACTCCTGATAATTCAATAAGATGTAACATATAATCAAATATTTCTAAATAATTGCATATTTAGATTCTCCAAATTATGGTTCCATTTTATAAAAACAAGTAAACGTAAATACATATTATCTACATGGTCATGTGAATGCATTCTAAAAGTCTGAAGAACATTCACAAAACTAACAAGAGTAGTTATCTGTGTGGATGGTAGTGGCGTGGGGCAAGATGGAGATGGATGAATGAGATCCTGTTCTGTGGGGCCAGGGGTATTATGTGTATTTTATAGAGGAAATGTCCGTGTATTGCTTGTCAAATTAAGAACTGATTTTTCTAAGGGTCTCCTTATAGGCTATTCTACTTTGAAGACAGATCTGCATTTTAAAGTTCATTCTTTATTACCTGCCTCTTCATTCAGTGAGGCTCTTATGTATCAGGCTAAACGCTGAAAAAGACAAACATGGTCCTGTCCCTAAAGAGTTAATATTCTGCTGGATGGAAGTTTTCCTAAGATCCAAACTTGTTTATCCAATTTCTAGACATCTTCAGCTGCCTCAAGGCAATTTGAAGTCAACATGTCTAAAACCAGACTCATCTTCCCTATAAAATTTGAGCTATTTGTGTATTTCATTACCTGTTCATTGCGTGAAGAAGAAAACCTTGAGCATAGTTATCTTAAGCTTTTCCCTCTTCCTCATCCTTTCTAGTTAATAAGACACCAAGTCCTGCCATGCTGGTTGTGTTCTCCCTTGAATCCATCTCTTACTCTGTCGCCGCTACGTTAGAGGTACTCAGGGTCTTCATCTGTACTTTCATTCTAGCCTTGTCTGCTCCTTTTCCCTCTGAGTATACACCTGCTTCCACTCTGACCTTCACACTACTATCAAGAAAAATCTAACATAGATCTGATCAAAGTGAGTCACATGAATTTGCTGGTTTCCCAGTACATATAAAACTTATGATGTTTACACTATACCTTAATCTATTAAGTGTGAGATAGCATTATGTCTTAAAAAATGTAAATGCCTTAATTAGCAAATACTTTATTGCTAAAAAAAATGCTGTCATCTGAGTCTTCAGCAAATTGTAATTTTTTGCAATAATAACATCAAAGATCATAGATCATCATGACAAATACAACAATGATGAAAAAATTTTAAATATTGAGAGAATTACCAAAATGTGATACAGAAACCTGAAATGAGCGAATGCTGTTGGAAAAATGGAACCTATAGTCTTGTTTCTTGCAGGGTTGCCATAAACCTTCAATTAAAAAAAAAAACGCAATTATCTACAAAGCACAGTAAGGTAAAAATGCAGTAAAACTACGTATGCCTGCATTCATAACACAGAATTCCAAGTCCTTCATGACTTGACCTCAGGCTGTCTCTTCAGCCTCATCTCTCACCACTTCTTCCCCATCCTTTATTTCAGCCACAACAAACTTGTTATTGGTTGTCAAACATGTTACACCTTTGATACCTCTGGTCCTTTCCCTCTTAGGGGGATGCCCCACATTTCCCCACAAAAGTCCTGCCTTTCACGGCATCCTTCCACCTTTATGTCATGGTGTAATTACTTCTACAGAACCAGGTCAGATGTCTGCTGTCCATGGGCTTCCGTGACTCCACCAGGCAAAGATACTGGCTTCCGTTTTAGAGACTGTATTTTTCTTTTTTTTTTTTTATTTTAGCGCTAATGTTTAGCACATGTCTTATTTACATGTCTGGCACATGGTAAGTGTTTGTGAAATAATGAACTATAGAATTCTGCTCCAAACATAAAAGTATAAACTGGAATTCGAGAACAGTGGAACTTAATAAACTTCTTTTGATTTAATTTTTCACACAGATTTTATGCTGCATGTGTAGTGCTCGGGTTGCAGTATTTACATGAACACAAAATTGTTTATAGGTAAGTAAAGTTTTGATACTTTCTAGTTGCTTATTTTTATATGAATTAGAATTAAAAATAAATAAGGATATTTTGTGTTTAATCAGCTTCTTAGTTTTATCTTCATATGATGAGTGACCTCTGAAAAAGGTAAACTCCGATTTTGAAAGACAATGTTTAACACAGTAACCGTGTGATGAGCTTCTTTGTTCCTGCTCTTCTGCCCATTCCCTAATTAGAATAGTCAGATTATAAACTGGCTTGTGATAACACAATTTGCCAACAATATTCATCCTGGTGAATATTTTGCATCCATCGGACCCACTACAGAAAATGTCTGTAGACTACTCCTCCTCCAAATTTGTCCGTGATGAGTAGCTTGTGCCAGATTGTAAGACATCACTCTGCTTCCTTCACTGAGTCTTGCCATCAGCTGAACGGTGTGCTTGGTGCCAGAACTGACTTCCATGCTGGCACAGACTCCCCACATCACAGACCAGGAAGGAACAGAGAGTTCACAGCCCAGCAGCTCGTCTGTGGGCCACACTTGGAACGGCATCACTGTAGATTGGGCAAGTTCTGGGAAGGCTGGTCAGAATTAAAAGGAGTATAAACATCAGTTTATTCAAACGTCTTACAATATTCCCAAGGTAATGGTTTCCTCATGGCCCTATTTTACTCAAATAATAAAATTTTCAACCTAACTTGTAATCATTTAGTATTACTCAGTAACCTTCTCTTTATTTTGAATTATTCCCTTAGAAGTTTGGTTAAACCTACTCCCAGACACCTTATTTGTACTGTTAGTTTGACAATTCTTTCTTACAGATGGTGGGTAGGTAAACATCAAACTTAGAAGTCAGATTATCATGAATAACAAATTAATAAAAATTGAGTTAAATACACTTGAACTCCTCCTATGCTTTAAAATACGTATTTAAGTAGATAAAACATTCCTCTTTTAAATACATTTTTCCTTTTCTATATAACGGGAAAAATTAGTCAGAGGCTATGTTATATAAAGTAATAAACTTGCCAAAAGGAAGAAAATGAACACTTGCGAGACAGTATTTAAATCTCAACCATAATTTGAAAAAACTGGGGTTTTTTTAGTAAAAAGAAAATATGGCTCTTATTGAAATGATTTTTTTACTACATTATCTACTGATTTTATTGATTTTTTTTCATTTTGCATTTTTTTATCCTGAACAGAGATTTGAAATTGGATAACTTATTGCTAGATACAGAGGGCTTTGTGAAAATTGCCGATTTTGGTCTTTGCAAAGAAGGTAATTAGATATTTTAAAGTGCTTTTTCTAATAGATTACTATCCCTTGGTACTTTAGTTCTTTTGAAGCTTGTCTATGGAAAGCAAAATGTATTTTTAACTTTAATTTATTCTTTATTGAGACATGTTGAATTGTTCATTTAACCTACTTATCACATTATTAAGAATTTATTCTGCGAATATGAATAAGGTTAGGTTTTCAGAAATTATAGTTTAAAACTAAGATTCTCTGTCACTACTCTAAGAAAGCATTGGTTAAGCACCAGATTTTTTGCTCTGCTGAGATTGTACAGAGTAAGTTATATAGGCCTAAAAAGTCTCCTGCTTCTTAAGACTTTTAACATTTTAAATAAGAAAAGAAATATTCATAGCCCTCAGGAATCTCTTACGTGTGTGTGTGTGTGTG